TATCTTTTGACATCTAACATGACCCCCCAACCCCACCCGCTGTGGGTGAAGGAGAGGGTAAGTTTAAAATTTTAAATGGAAACCCCCATTTTTTATTGCAGATTTCGCTTCTTCAGAGAAAGTTACATAAATTTTACCTATTACAAACATTTTTTGATGACAGATGGCGCTGTAATCAGCGAAATTAAAAAATGAATCTAAAACGTTTAAAATATCTCAAGAAATACTCAACGTTACGTTTAATGGCACTATTTATAAGCAAACATTTGGCACTCCCATGGGATCCCCCCTTTCCCCTATTATTTCTGATATTGTGATGGAGGATTTGGAGAAAAAAGCTCTTAATTGTGTACAGCCTCGATTATCAGTATATTTTAGATACGTAGACGATGTTTTATGATTGCTCCAAAAAACAAAATATCTCAAATTTTAGATGCGTTCAACGAACAACATAACAGATTAAAATTTACAATCGAATATGAAGAAGACCATACACTGAACTTTTTAGATCTTTCAGTTATTAATAAAGACAATAAAATTATAATGGATTGGTATCATAAGAAAACTTTTTGGGGAAGATATTTGTCTTATTTCTCGAACCATCCCATATGTCACAAGATAGGAATGGTTTTTAGCTTAGTTGACAGAACGTTTTTATTATCGAATCCTATATTTTTTAAGAAGAACATTGAACTAATAATAATGATTTTGAAAGATAATGGGTATCCGATTGAATTCATTTTTGAATATATCAACAAAAGAATAACAGCGTTATCACAAAAAAATTCTGTACTAGTTAAATCTAATAATGAAAAGGAAATGAGAGTTCTAATGGTTTTTCCTTATGTTAAATCGATTTGTAACAAAATTTCAAGATCCATTGATAAATCTAATAACATGATAGGCTATAGATGTACAAATAAGCTTAATAGATTCATAAAAGTCCACAAAGATAGAAATCCGCATGAAAAGAATAATAATGTTATATATAGGTTAAATTGTAACAATTGCGATGTGTCCTACGTTGGGCAAACAAAAAGACAATTACAGACGAGAATTAGGGAGCATCGTAATAACATAAAATTAGACCAGTCCAAACATTCGGTCATTTCAAAACACATCAATGATACTAATCATGATTTTAATTGGGAGGACGTTAATATTCTTGATTTCGAAAAGAATTATAAAAAAAGGAACATTTCAGAAATGATTCATATTAAAGAACAAATTAACGGATTGAATCTAATGAAAGATATCGAGTTATTGGACAAAGCGTATTCGAATATACTTGATGAGATTTGCGAGAGAAAAAAATCGAAATAGGTCTAACAGACTTATCGATATATCGTGAGCGAAAGATGTCGTATTATGTCGAACAGATTTGATGAGACATTGTGAGCACGTAATTATTGACATGACCTATACTTATATCAGTTGAATTTAAAAGAATAACAAGCAACGTTCCAGATTTTTTCTCTCAATCAGATTTGCATTGTTGAATTCATAGGCGGTATTTTATATACATTGACGTAAGTTTCCATTGGTTTTCGTATTATTATGTTTGATTATATTAGTATTATGAAATCTATGGTTATCTCAGAATATCATAAAATATACAATGCGAATGGACTCACAATGGATGGTCGGATCTGTGACTATTTGAATTCTAGACGTTCACCTGAGAATTCGGAGAATTGTAAAGAGGAGATGTATTATTGGACAACTTGAGACTAAAGCTATACCTTGGATAGAAGATGTTCGATGTATTGTCAAGTAATTGACGATTGTCTGTGAAGACTGATATACCGGTGAATGGTTGAGAATGTAATGAGGAGTAGTTAATTTTTATTTCCATTAAGTTTTGATGTGTTCTACATTGGAGAAGGCTTAACGTAAGCCGAAACGTTTGTAAGATATACTTACATGATTTTGTAATTGGTTTAAAGTGTATATTAAATATTAAATATTATTAGCTCGAAATAAGCCTCGATTTCTGATCCATTTTAAATATATTCGAGCATTTATATCAATTTTTTACAGAAGTGTTTTAGACAAAAGTTGTAGGGTCTAAAAAGGTCTATTTACTGATCTTATCAGTTTGACCTTGGGTGGCGTCGCACAGAATAGTAAAATAAGCTACAAGGTAGGTTATGTGTTACTTGTCTGAGCGAAAATTGGATATGTATGAGAAAAATCGGAACCTAAAAGTAATCACCCATCTTTTTCGAGTTAAACATTACAAAATGTTCTTTTTTTTTACGACATATCTATTAGTAAACTATTCTCTGAAGGAAATATATATAATTACCTTGATTTCGTTAAACGCGTGCAAATGACAAGCTGACGAAACAAAGAACTTTGCTTACGCCCGGCCATAACAGATGGCCGCATATGCGTCTCTTGTCGGAACGTTTATCTTGACGAATTTATTGTCATAAAAATGCGTTCAATTGGAACTTCCATATTTACACTTAGTAATTCTCTATGTTCAATTTTTATTATAAATATTTTTTACAATGAATATTTATGACGGCGAATGCAATAAAACAATTTATTCACTAAACTGATCAGAAATTAGAGACTGATCAGAAACTAGTGCCTTGACGGTAAGTATAGAAATATTTTGATCTCTTCAGTACGTTTGTTACAATTTTGTGTTTAAATGTTAAGTGATACGATATAGGCAACTTCTCCACAATAATAAATTAATATAGTATAACAAATAATACTTTATTTCATTTTCCATTTAAATTTTATTGCACTGTCTACAATATAAAATATTTTAATATTTTTCTTTGTTTTTATTCAAAATTTCTTTCAGTTTGTCAGGGAATTTATTCAAAAAGTGATAAGAGGACAAATCGGGAAAAGTCAAGAACATTTTTTTCCTTTTTTCGATAATAACCCTGTTAGAATTCGAGTGCTACTTGTAAAAGATTTTATTCTGTACAGTAAAAATTACTTACTTTGTAAGTATATTTCACGTTGTGGCGGCAATTGTACCGCTACGGTTAGTGAATTTGCATTTGCGACGGCTTGGCAAAAATCAGCGTTGTTCGAATTATAAAAGTATAACATATACACGTCAATGTGACGAGCGTATAGCCAGTAAACACAACTGATTTCTGCG